TTAAACAACACAAATATGCTTTATGTATTTAATACCATTCTATTAACCAATGTATTTGCTTCTGAGCTTCGATGATCCAGTTCAAGCGTACTAATAAACACAAATTACTCTAGACAAACATTTGTGTGTCTTTGTTTATTGCTGAAGTGTGTTGAAATGTCTTCTTCTGCGTTCTACAGTACATTTCCTTCAGCCTGAGGCTTATTCATTCCACTTTTGCTGTGAAAGGCTTTTATATTTGCCAAAAATATAACTTTTTTATTTTAAAAACAAACAAGCAAGCCCTGTCCAGATTTTAAAAGTAACGCAAAAGTAACGTAACGCATTACTTTCCATAAAAAGTAACTAAGTACCGTAACCAGTTACTTTTTTATGGAGTAACGCAATATTGTAATGCATTACTTTTAAAAGTAACTTTCCCCAACACTGTGTGCGTTTACGTTTAGGTCTGTATGAACATTTTCAACTAAAAGCTCACACGTGGGTAAATAATGAAGAAACGTGATGTTTCATCCGGACAGAGAGACGAGAGAGGGAAAGAGATCAGAAGAAAGAGATCGCACTCTGCCGACGTGAGCTGGAGGAGTGCTAAAGCGCTCGCGCTTATTACTGAAACTCCTCCAATAAGTCTGACGTGTACACTCTTTCCTGGTGTTTAACATGGGGCTGACCATTTCAAGCGTCTTCTCTCGCTTGTTTGGGAAAAAGCAGATGAGAATTCTCATGGGTGAGTTGGAAGGGGTTTGTTTTTGTCGGTTAGCTTTGATGAAATGGCTGTTTTGTTGACATTTTTCACTGAATTATGTTTTTAAAGCTCTTTCTACACAAGTCTGAATGCTCTTATGATCTGGAGACGTTGAAATGAATTCAAACTGGATCAGTAAATCAGTCCCAAGAAATAGGAAGGCGTTTATGCAAACTTGATTTGATTCCTGTTCACTTTCAGTTGGTCTGGATGCTGCAGGGAAAACCACAATCCTCTACAAACTCAAACTGGGAGAAATAGTCACAACAATTCCAACCATAGGTAAGTAATAAAAGAGCACTATGGAAATAAAAAAATAAACTGACTTTTTAGCTCACAATTCTTTTTCTTTTTCTGGTATAAAGTCAGAATTGTGAGACAAAAAGCCACAATTAACTTTTCTATTTTTTATTCTGTGACAGAAACAGAAAACAGAATTGTGAGATGTGAATAGAATTCCGAGGAGAAAAAAGTCAGTTTTTTTTCCTCGGAATTGTGAGAAAAACAGTTGTGAAAAACTTCTGAGGGAAAAAGCCAGAATTCTGGGGGGGGGAATTATATCTCAAGTATATATCTTTGCAATTCTGACTTTGCAATTGCAATAAAAAGACTGAATTGTGAGAAAAGTCATAATTGTGAGACAAAGTCGCAATTACTTTTTACATTTTCCTTTTCTATTTTTTATTCTGTGACAGAAACAGAAAACAGAATTGTGAGATGTGAATAGAATTCCGAGGAGAAAAAAAGTCAGTTTTTTTCCTCGGAATTGTGAGAAAAACAGTTGTGAAAAACTTCTGAGGGAAAAAAGCCAGAAATCTGGGGGGGGAAATTATATCTCAAGTATATATCTTTGCAATTCTGACTTTGCAATTGCAATAAAAAGACTGAATTGTGAGGAAAAAAAGTCATAATTGTGAGACAAAGTCGCAATTACTTTTTACATTTTTTTTTATCCCGTTGCGGAAATATGCTCACATAGATAAAGATAACAGATCATATGTGACCCTGGAGCACAAAACCATAAGTGTCAATTTTTCAAAATTGAGATTTACGCATAATCTGAAAGCTGAATAAATAAGCTTTCCATTGATGTATTGTTTATTAGGATAGGATATCCTATAATATTTGGTCGAGACACAACTGTTTGAAAATCTGGAATCTGAGGGTGGAAAAAAATCTAAATATTGAGAAAATCACCTTAAAGTTGTTCAAATGGAGCTCTTAGCAATGCATATTACTAATCAAAAATGAAGTTTTAATATATTTACGGTAGGAAATGTACTAAATATCTTCATGGAACATGATCTTTACTTAATATCCTAATGATTTTTGGCATAAAAGAGAAATGTATAATTGTGACCCATACAATGTAATCAGTTATGATTGATGCTCATTTATTAGTAATGGTTCTTATTATTATCAATGCTGAAAATCTTTTTTTTTTGGAAACTGGGATAAATATTTTTGATTAATATAAAGTTCAAAAGAATAGCATTCATTTGAAATAGACATCTTATGTAACTTCATAATTGCCTTTACTGCCATTTTTGATCAATGCAGTGCATCCTTCCTGATAAAAGTATTAATTTCTCTTCTTGTGAATGGTAGCGTTTCAAAATTTATAATAATAAAAAATGTTTCTTAAGCAGCATATTAGAATGATTTCTGAAGGATCATGTGACACCGAAGACTGGAGTAATGATGCTGAAAATTCAGCTTTGATCACAGAAATAAATTACATTTTATTAATATATTACAGTAGAATACAGTTATTTTAAATAGTAATAATAATTCACAATATTACTGTATTTTACTGTATTATTGATCAAATAAATGCAGCCTTGGTGAGCAGAAGAGACTTCTTTCAAAAACATAAAAATATCTTTTTAACATTCATTTTAGTGCGTATTGTATCCGTTTAGTAGTAATATGTTGACATTGTGCTTTTCATCAGTGGTATGTCCAGGCGACCTGTGCGACTCAAGGGACGGGTTTATACGAGGGATTAGACTGGCTTTCCGAGCAGCTCTCCAAACACTAAACGGCACTTCCTGTTCAAGCAGGATGTTTGCTGTTCTAAAGGACATGATTAGTGGAGTTGATGTGGCACAGAAGCTGTTCATGCATCATTTTCAGTTGATTTCTACCAAAAACCCACCTGCTGCTGATGTCGATCTACGGCAGTGCATTTTAACATTTTGTTCCTTTTTTAATTCGTTGCACCTTTGACCTCGACTCTTGCAGTACTTCTGGGTTCTTGTTACAGTCAGCATAAACATCAAGCACTGTGTTAGTAATGATAACTTTTTTTGTATTTATAAAAATGCTCTATTTTTGCTCCCTCAACTTGATTTATTCCATTATTTTCATTCCAAACATTTTCATTCCCAGGCGTTTGCATGCCATACATCCAGGGAAATGTTCTCAGAGAAGCGTGCATTTAATAAATAAAAGATTATTCTTATAGTAGCACACTTAGAGACTGGCAATGCATTGATGTAAGCATTAGTTTGAATGCTTCTAAAATGCATGCGTTTATATTGGGAATAGTCTGATGTCTGTGTTGTAAATAAGCAGCCTTTTTATGTACGTAATCACAATTGCCTTAAACGTGCTGTGCTTTACTATGTGAATGAACTCGCCCCAAACGCTTTTGATTTAGCATTTCAGTTGAGAACAAACCAGTGCAAATGTTTAAGACCGTCAACTGTTTTTATTCCCAGCTTTTGAAAATATTCAAATGGATCAGAGCAAGGAATCATCTGTTACCCTTTTAAAACATTTATTAAATATTATGTATAAAGTATGACGCAAATAAAAGTCTGAAATATATTGAATGGTTGTGTATTAACAAAGACCTAAGAAAGAAATTAACTTCTTATTTAATGCTTTAAAGGGTCATGAACACATTTTTGAAATGTTAAGAGATATAGATGCACATATTTCTGAAAATTGATGTATTCATGTTTATTATTGAAGTAATATTTCACTCAAAACTGAAAACGTCCTCACCATCAGGCCATCCGAGATGTAGATGAGTTTGTTTCTTCTTCAGATTTGGAGAAATGTAGCATTACATCAGTTGCTTAGCAATGGATGCTCTGCAGTGAATGGGTGCCGTCAGAATGAGAGTCCAAACAGCTGATAAAAACATCACAAGTAATCCACACCACTCCAGTCCATCAGTTAATGTCTTGTGAAGATAAAGGCTGTGTGTTTGTAAGAATCAAATCCATTATTAAGACGTTTTTAACTTTAAACCGTCGCTTCCGGCTAAAATACCAGTGAAAAAGTGGTCTTCTCCAGCTGTGAACTGATGGACTGGAGTGGTGTGGATTACTTGTGATGTTTTTATCAGCTGTTTGGACTCTCATTCTGACGGCACCCATTCACTGCAGAGCATCCATTGGTGAGCAAGTGATGCAATGCTACATTTATCCAAATCTGATGAAGAAACAAACTCATCTACATCTCGGATGAACTATTCTTTCAAGGGGAAACCGGTTATTTCCATTCGCTCCTCTGGTTTGAAAAGCAAAGTTAAAGCAACGTCACAAAATGCTGAATGAATTTAAATGCAAAGAATTAAAAAAGTCGCATATTGTAAATACAGCTTTTAATATTTCCAAGTAGGTGTCAATAGACGCATTTGATAAATATCACACAATAACTCATAAATATTCATTTGTACAAGTAAGAGAGAAGCTATGTGATAAATACAAATACAATCCTGAAATCTGATCATTAAAAAGCTGAAATTGTTGAATGTGTTTTTTGCTTTTGATGAAACGCGAACTGTTTGTGAACGTTTCACTTCCACTTGAGGGCATACACGAGCGCGATGTGATCTGATGGGTGCGAGACGCTCGGCAGGGCCACACAGGTCGTGACCTCCTGAAGGCTGGGCAGAGGAATGCAGCACATGCGGCTCCACGAAAATATAGTCCAGGCAGCCCTGGAAGCCCCCGACGTAGTTGGTGAAAGCTGGGACCCCACAAGCACTGGCCAGCTGGAACGGGTTCATCAGTCCCACCTGGATCTGCTCTTCCGGCCAATTGGAGGCCCAGTCGTCATGATTCTCCGAGACGGATCCCTCACAGACCAGCTGGAAGAGACCGGAGGAGAATATGAGCCCGGCTCCGGGATGCTTCTCCGTCACCACCTGCTTCATGTGTTTGAGGGCCACTGCCATCTGAACCAGTCGAACGTTATATATAAGATATTTCTTATTATAATTCAATAAAATAATTAGAGAAAAGATGTGTAAAAATAAATACAAATAATATTAAGATAAATAAAATTACATAAAAATAATGTAACTTTAATAATAAAGTTAATTATATAAAGACAAAACAATGATTAAAATAAGCCAAAACAACAAAAAATCAAGATATTTCTTATTTTAGTTCAATAAAATATTTATTAGAAAAATAATTAGAGAAAAGCAGTGTAAAAATAAATAATAATATAAAAGAAATAAAAATTACATTAAAACAAATATGACTGAAAATCATTTAAAGTAAAACAAAACGGATTAAAATAAGACAAAAATCAAGATATTTCTTATTTTAATTCACAACCGCAACAACCTTTTTTGTTTTTAAAGGGGTCATATGATGTTGATAAAAAGAACATTATGTTGTGTATTTGGTGTAATGAAATGTGTTTATGCGGTTTAAAGTAAAAAAAACACATTATTTTCCACATACTGTACATTATTGTTTCTCCTCTATGCCCCGCCTTTCTGAAACGCGTCGATTTTTACAAAGCTCATCGTATATAAACTCATATTTGTGAGATATAAACAATTGTGAGATATAAACACATAATTGCGAGATATAAACATAATTGCAAGATATAAACTCAGAATTCAGAGAAAAAGTCAGAATTACGAGAGAAAAAAAGTCAAAATTGCAAGATACAATCTTTTATATTTTTATCTCGCAATTCTGACTTTTTTTTTTACGAGATATTACGAGATATAAAGTCAGAATTGTGAGATAAAAAGTCGCAATTACCTTTTTAATATTTTTCATTCTGTAGCGGTAATGGGCTTCCGTAATACCATCCAATCAGTTCCAGATGAAAAAAATCTAGATATTTTATTCGCAAATATGTAAAATTACAACTGTAAATTGCTGGCGAAACACCATTTAATGTTGACTTCAGAGAAGCATCAGTACTGAAGTTAAATCTGGTCCTTAGCAGTCAAACAGAAGCTAAGACAGACGATGCAAATGCAAGATATATTGATTATTGTGCTATTTCAAATCGCATTCAAACATCTGAAGATGTCCTTCCGCTCATGAAACCTGACACTGAATGTTTAATTCCTAGATTTTTGGTGAGAACTGGCTGATATCTCCAAATCCTCCGGTGTGCCGAGCCTGTAAAGCTCCCGAAGGAACCTGATTCAGACTTCCACTGTCCCACCACAATGATGCCACTGCCGTGGTGCAATCAGTCCCAAACAGCTCTGATTCTCCGTTCAGATGGGAGTCAGAGCTCACAGTCACAGAAGTGTCCGTCTCTCTCGGGACTCTAGAGGTTGTTCTTCTCTGTGCTCTCCGCTTCTGTGCTGCGCGGGAAGTAGACGGTGGTCTTGTGCTCTTCGTAGCGGTCGATGTGCTTCAGGTGAACCACCATGTGCAGCGCATAGGCCAGCACCAGCAGCAGGATCAGAGACGTGATCAGACCCATCAGGATGGCAGGAGTGAAGAAGGTCGCGCAGTCGCTGGCCGCCACAAACTTACTGGAGTGAACGTTAAACGCCTGGATCTGTGAGGAAAAACACAAGAAACAGCAGATGGTAAGATGTTGAATCCTTAAAAACAATTTTCCAGTTTACAACTTGAGTCTGTCTATCTATCTATCTATCTATCTATCTATCTATCTATCTATCTATCTGTCTGTCTGTCTGTCTGTCTGTCTGTCTGTCTATCTATCTATCTATCTATATCTATATCTATCTGTCTGTCTGTCTGTCTGTCTGTCTGTCTGTCTATCTGTCTATCTATCT